CAATCATTGCACTTTTATTGCGCCACGAAAATATTCGGGCGTTTATTGCCTGTTGTAAATTAAAAAAAAAAAAACAGAAAATCAAATCCTCCCCAAATTTTGCCCAACTCTTCCAATAAAGTCTGTTTCTACTGAATTGTATTAGTAATATTGTGCAGCAAGCATTTGGACAGTTATAAATCATGGATTCCTGCACAACCCGAGCACTATTCTTAGGATCATTGTCCTGACTTTAAAACTTTCCTTTTACTCTCAATTGGGACGCACCAAACTGTTTTTAAAGCTCATTAAATAAGCTATTTTTTGCAAGATTCCACGAATAAAAACTAACTCATCCACCCGAAATGAGAAAACACTTTCTTACTAATGCACACACATTTTCACTTAGGCATAGTAAATAAGGTAAACAAATTCCACAATTTCAAAACTATTTTTGATAAAAACAGAGTCTGTCAATTAATATCTACGACTATTAAAACGAATGATTTTTTCAACTATAATTTTGCGACTTTAAAGCCGCATACTACAAGGAGCGCCTGATATATCAGTGACTTTTTAAATTTCCCGCCCAGTAACTTAAGTCCAATACTAGTTGTGTCAGACTAGAATCGCCATTTTGAGGCGAAATTTATTTTATTTACCATGCAGTTATGCACCTTTAACTTGAATTATGTCGAGCTTACTGACCCTGGCTAACTTTTATATGAGATGATAATCTTGCCATTAAGTGCCGATCTTTGGACAATACTATATTTCTGTTCGCATAATGAAATAATCACACTGAACAGTTGATCTAGCGTGTCAGCAATAAAATATTAATTGCTAGTAGGTAATAAAAATATTATTGGTCTGTAAGCTGGTGTATTTTTCAGTTATTAAGTCTGAATTAATAAGTTAGTTTTAAAGGCTGACCCTTAGACAATATCAAACAGAATACTTGAACAGATTAGACCCGAGTAGTTATTGAATTGCTCACTAGTTTTATAGAAATTATTAATGCATTGGAAATTGGCATTAAGAAATTATGGAAGCCTTGTTAAACCAGAATTTAAATTTCTTAAAAATCGATTTTAGACAGACAAAAACTTTTGTTGGAGGAAAATGGAATTAAATTTTGGGTGATCGAGTCGTTTGAACATCTCCGAAGTTGTAGTTTTGTCCATTCTGACCTTAAAGAACACTTAAAATTAAGCACTCTCAGTGAAAACTTTCGTGGATGGTCCATAAATTATGCCAAAAAACACTCACAAACTTTGAGGAAAATCGCCATTTTTAGCTTAAATTTCAAGCGGTGTTGCCAAACTGCGCTTAACGTATTAAGTTAATGAAAACTGTTTACTTGGGTACCTACCATGTAGATTCATTTCATTTCAGTCCGTTTAGATTATTTAGGTCTTTTCGAGTTATTATCTTATGAGAACTTTCAATCATGCTAACACAAACTGAATTTAGTGGTTAATTGAATGAATTTAATAGTGATGTCAAAAAATCGACTTTTTCGTCTTGTAAAAATTTAATTTTTCTCCTTGGACCGATTTTAAAAATCTACAGCTGCCGTCGAAGTTAAAACGTCATGTAAGAAGATACAAATATTATTGTCGACTCAAGAGAAAAATTCAATCCATAGGATTGCATTAAAAGTGACCCAATCGGAATTCCCCAACAAATTTGGTATTATGGTAGACTTTGAATCAAAGTTAAATTTATTTTTAAACAATCCTTTAATTCTGAACCCTTTAGGATGATCTATGCTTGACATGACTTAAGATTGACTGCTGTTACAGGGATGGGACATCGATCCTATAACATCCATAGCAGCCATCGGGGTTGACAGCGAAAGGTAATATCGATTTTAGGGAAACATCGAAGGCAGAACGTTGATGTTTGACAACATCGATGTTCTCATAGTTTGTCGTTGCATAGAAATTTCAAATTGATTAACTTAAACTTAAATAATTTTATTTTACTACTACTATGACTATTAAATAATTGACTAAATTTATTCAACTTACATTTTTCGGTCAACTGACTGCAAAAAGATGCTTTTTTCGGGTGCAGCTGGAAATGGACCGCTATGTCGCGGTATCGTTAGTATCGGCACTATCAGAGTTTACAGAAAATGTTTCTATCTAGTATCAACATCAAATGTCCGATGTTTTCATTTCAGGATCTAACTTTATGTCCCATAATCATCGATATATCGATATCCCAAATTCACAACATCGATGGTAAAAATATAGAACATCGAACGAATTACATCGATGTTTGCGAAACATCGATGTTTTTCTCCGATCCTTGCAGCAGTCAGAATTTATCATGTTCCAAATTTAAGGCAAATTTGGCCGCGTAATGTTTATTTTGTTGAGCAGTTTATTTCTATTACATCATAGCAGCACCAGCTTTAGGAAATAGACATTCACTCATAAAAGTTAGGAAATACGGTTTGTATGTCTCCAATTGGGTCACTTTTCATAGATATAATTCAATTCCATTTTGTTTGATATCGGCAATGTGTTTTAAAACTGACTGTTCAGAACCATTAATACGTATTTTTTATTCAAACTACAATTTTACGAACCTTATATATCGCTGTTTTCACACTTGGGAATTTTCAAGCCTCTTCAACAATGTGATTTATTGTGTGAGCCAAACAGCCCGAACATTTCATTGAGCGTACGGGTAGCTAGATAGAGCATATGCATTTTATTATTTTGAAGAAAATGACATGTCACACCTAAGAAACCTCGCTCGTTCATTGGTTCTGTCCAAATGTCCAATCTGAGACTAGCTCCAATCTGAGCTAACAGAAAGCTGGTAAGAATGACCTGAGTTTAGTTTTCAGACAAGCAACTGAAGTTTTATGGTTTCGTTATATTTTTATCTCTTTGCTTTGCTGATTTCAAATAACTCTGGCTTTGGGCAGATTTTCGGCTGTACTGAGCACATTTCCTTTTTTAGCTTAGCTATGTTTCTTCTTTAGCTTACCTTTAAGTAAGCTTAGCATTACCTTGCCCCTGGTTCACATGTACACTGTACATGTAAAACTTTTAGTCCCATATTCATTAACTGACTCGTAGCGTGGATTTGATATTCGTTGAGCTATTCTTTGGTAGTTGATTTATAAACGAGAATATTTTGGGCGGCTTTGCATTTTTATATAAGCTCATCTGAAGCTTTTTCGCTAAAGAAACGCTTCAAATATGGAAATTTGGGTTTCAGTATTCGATGCAAACATCAATTAAGTATCAGCTTACTGACAGTGTGCGGCTTTGTATTTTTACATGAAGCTCATCTGAAGGTTGTCTCCAAAGAACCGTTTCAGGTATGCAAATATGGGTTCTAGTTTTATGTTTTTTATCAAAAAAGTCAAGAAATTTAGTTTTGTCTGTTTTTTTGTGGAAATTGCGAAATTTACTGAAAGATTTGAGAACCATTTGAGCCACAGAGTTCGTTTTATATCATTGGATAGAGAATTGGTAAATCGGTTTAGTTATAACAAGGTGTGTGAGTAAATTCTGGTAGTGTTGTCACAAAAAGTCACACGAAATTTGAACATCAGACATTTAGTTGGAGCTTTGTGCCAAAACTTCATTTAAAAAACGTTTTCTACAGAATGTCAGTCTCTCAAGTTTCTACTGGCTTTACTTTGGAAGTTTAATTTTTTTATTGAAGAGTCTGCCGTTGCGCAAAGTTTCTCCTTTTCAAATCAACATTTAAGAAAGCAAAATTCAGGGTTTCATGTGATTTGAATGAATGTTTGAAGGTTTTAAGAAATTTTGACGACATTTAGAGAGCAAGAACTTCTTCCTCTGAACTTGAAGATTATTTTTCGTTTCTGAGAATTTTTTTTCGAAAAACGCGATGCAAAATGTGTTCTTCGACAGCTTTTTAAAATCATATGCAACCTTTTCTTAACGATGAGTGAAATTCTAAATTTTGACGTTTAGAGCGCACTCTTGTCTACTGGACACAACTCACTGGACACTGAACTTAGAGTATTTTTTGTTTCTGAAAAATGTGTTTCAAAAAACTCAATTCGAAATGTATCCGGAATTAGTTCTTAGAAATCCTTCTAAATTTGTCTTGACGATGAGTGAAGTTCGAATTTTTGACGGAATTTAGAGTGCACTCTTCTCTACTGAGCGCAAAACTCTGAACTTGTAAAGTATTTGTCATTTCTGAGTTTTACGCTATAACTAACCGCACCTCACTATGCCGCAAAAAACGTCGCCACAATCTTTCTTACTAACATGTTACCAAACGATACTGTGCCGGTGCGTTGTGTTGACGCCCAAAGTCATTTCGGCATCACTACGCCAACTCCTGAAAATTCACTGAGTTACCCACGCCAATTCCAGACTAAAGCAGGCAGGATGGATCTTTTACCATCTTTAGTGAACACTTGACCCCATACGCGCGGAAAGTTTAAGAAAAATCAACCTGGAACCTGATTTTCGTTGGCTTTGTAAATGTGACTCACAAAATTGATGGCCTCAGTCAATTACACTCGCTTACTTAAAACTTTGCGTCTGCGAATCCCAAGCAGGCGAGAAGCTGAGTCTGTTATCATATTTAGTGGACATTCGATCCGATGGACTTCCGATCCGAAAGCTTCAGAAAAATCTATCCGGAACCTGATTTGTGTCGGCTTTGTAAACGTGACTCACAAAATTGATGATATTAGCGTTGTACTCGTACTATCCTTCGATGTTCAGGGAGTGTTATTTATAAAAAAATCAAATTCGAAATACTGATTTTTTATTCATTATTACCTAGTAGAAACCGATACTTTGAAAATGCCTAATCTTAGTCATTTTGGAGGTGCCTCCTTCAAAATCATAGATGTGAGATGATCTGAACCAAGAAATCAAAAGTCAATTTTTTCGGCGAATAAAATAATTTTTGCCGGATTATTCTTAGCTCTGACCAACTGGTTAATTACGATTTGCGGCAAATAAACTATGGTGAAATACTGGGGTAATGACAATAAAAAGCAAAAAAACCATAGCATTAGCGATTTATTACGGTTTAGCAACTACTAATGTCTGGTCATCGCGTCACAGTCAGCACTGAATGTTTCGCCTTCAGCTTCAGCTCTTTTAGCTCGGGTATGCTAATTTCCTTAAAATAGTAATCGTCGCATCTACTCAACAGCATCGGCTTCTTGAAGTTCTTCCTTTGGAACTTCAGCTCGCAGAAGAACTTTCTCGACTTGGGCCCGCAGAATTTCGCCTTCCAAACGATTCTGTTATCGACCTGAGTCCACGTGCAGTAGAAAATGCCCAATTTCTCGTTTACCAGAAAAACTTCTTGGGTTTTTTGGAAAATCGCTATGAAGGACTGAAAGAGCTTGACACTGCTGTGGATCACGTTCAAGTGGCATAACATCGGTTTGTAGGGCCCCTTGAAACCGCAGTGCGTTATGGGACAAGTATAGTCGCAAAATGTGCAATTTATCTGATGGTCGTTGATTTCCTGATAGGGCAACTTCTGCGGACACCCGTGCTTGCTGTTGATGCAAGAATACTGATAGTTGTAAGCTTTGCCTTCGAGCTCTTCGTTCCGTTCCGCTGTTATATCCGACTGGCAAATCGAACATGTTCTGGTGTCGCGATAGCAGCTTGTGCAAATGTTGTGTCCATGAGCACACAGAAATATTGGAGGCGCCAGATGACCAGAGCAATTCGAGCATTGAAGAACCAAGTTTAAGTCAGCTTCAGAGATGGAGCTGAGGCTCCTCATGCTTGCCTGCCGTTTCATAATGGAGCTCCGTTGAACGTCCTCAGACGAGAATGTTTGCGATCTACTCAAAGAACTTGGGCGCACTTTTGGACCGTTTAATTTTGTCCCAGACCATGTAGCTCTGTGAGTTTCATTGAAACTCATGTCATTGCCCTCTATGACTTCCACTGGCGAATTTCCGTCTTTGGGCGTGGAGAAAAAGTCATGCAAGTCCAAATTTGAGACCGACAGGGCTCCGTCCATGTCCTCATTAATATTCCCTAAATAAACGTCGGAGCTATCAGGAGGATTAACGTAAATACTAATGCCGTCATCCGAATGAATACTCGTTGAATCACCGCTGATTATCAGGTGGCAGTTTATCAAATCCACATCTCCGAAAAATGTGCGTAAGCACTCTAAACCGACACTAAAAAAGCCATTTTTTAATTCAATGTCTTGTTTGCTCATTTTCATGCCACTGGCGGAGACTTCGATATCATAGCTGAAGTTGGATGCCACATGGGCGGGCCCTAAAAATCTTAAGTACATGTTCACGTGGTCGTGGTCGATTTTCGTTTGGAACAAGTAGATTTCTCCATCGACAAATAGAAGTCGGTTTTCCGAAGCCACATGAAGGGCGATATCGACACTTCCATTGTGAAACAGAAGATCTTCATGTTCTAAGCTGAAGTGATGCAGAATGTTCTCGGATGGCCCTTCCCAACTGCAAGCATACTTCCGATCAGCTGGGCAGAGGTAAATTTGTGAGCGCATGTTGATAATCTAGCAACAAAAAGTTTCTTAATTTACGGGTAATTCTTCCCTATTGGCCTGCAGCGAAAGCAGCTGCAGCTAAAACCGAAATGTAAAATGCACCTACGAATCGAAAATTGGACTGTTTGAACTGAAAGGCTAAACGCAAAAATTCCACGTTTGAAAATTTAAAATGTAAATTGAACCTAAGTTTTCCGAATGCTTAGAGCAAGAACGCCATCGAATCGGTTGCATTGGTGCAAATAAAATTCCTTTGTTTGCGGGCCGGCTTACCGTGATTGGAATTTGGAAGGTTCGAGTCAAATAGACGAAATTTTAGCTGCGGCGATTTACTGCAAGTGCCTAACAACTGTTTGACATGGAAAACTCAATTTCACAACCACGTTTGTTTCCGGTACGGAGCAAATCCAGATTTCCGCAAGACGCAATTGGATCAAACTATAGAGAATATGTGGGATTTGCTTGGATAAAGTTACTTGTTGACAAGCTCCAACTTCTTAAACCACTTCTAGTGCTGTATTGGATGTAAAGCTTTAAAACGATTTGGTTTGTTTAGGGTTTTGTCGGTTGCGTTCTACTCCACATTTGCACGTTAAACATTCCTTTTCGTTTAGATGCATATTTTAGGAATAGGTACTTAAACACCCTAAAGAAAAGTTCTCGAAATTCTGTCGATTTTCCTTGTAGCTACACTAAAATCAACCTTGCCTTTTGAATGAAATAATGATGCTTCATTCTACACTGGAAAAAATGTCTAGAGGAGGACACGACTCTTTATATCATTGCTTGAATTACGTGAAACAAACAAAACCAAAATATTCCAGTAAAAATCAACATGGCAAAAGCAAACAATCTGAAAAGTTTTGTTCAATAAAATGAAAATATTATATATTTTTGAAGAGCTTTCCTAAGGTTTCAGTTTGAAAATGTGAGCCTATTTTTCTAATATTACGACAAAATAGCCAATATTAGAAAATATTTTTAAGCAATTCCAAGCTCAAATAGCGTTTTAAACACCTTTTGCAATGTTGGGCTTATTTTAACTCGCCTGTCTTTTTAAAATTAAAAATTGTACAGTGGTATAAAATAAATATTAAAAATGTGTGCTTAATAATGTGTTTCAGTCACTAAACGTACAAATACTAAGACACTTCGCCGCTCTTATCAGAAAACAGGCAGAAATTGACCAATAACAAGGAATACAGAAAACTCAACACTGATGATATGAAAATAAAATCAAACTATTTCTTAACCAAACGAATCTAAATAAGCGTTTAGTTCTAAGCGATAACAATTAGCGCTTACTTTTTCATACACTTAAAAAAAACGCAAACTTGTGTGTTAATATTTACACCGAAAGAAATATTTATGGTGCTCAAATTATTCCTAAAATATGTTTTTTTTATTTCATTCCGAAAACTTTTCTCTACTTCTACTATGTACCTACATTCTGCAACTAGAAAAGAAAGCGACAGCAAAAGAGAGAAAAGCAAACTGAAGAAAATCGAGAATTAAAAATGCAAACGATAGAACAATTGATTGGAAAGTGCAAATAACGTGAATTATAATGGACTTACAGACAAGCATGTAGGCATAAAAATTAATCACTTCAAATATTAATATTTGAAGCAATTGTTGGCAAAAGAAATGTATTAAAAACTATTTGCAGTAGTGAAGTGCAATAAAAATGGAGTCCAAAGTGTGATTATTTATTTTATTTTCAATTGCGAAAATATGAATTAAAAAAATAACTAAAATAATTTATGGATTTTTTCATAATTTCTGAATTAAGTCAATAAAATTTACAACAAGTTAGGCAGAAAACGTAAACATTTAAAAAACTTATTTTTCAAACAATGATTGGCCAAGGAAATGCATTTAAAATGATTTCCAGTGTGAAAGTGCGACCAAAATATAACGCAAAGTGCCATTATTTAATTTCTTTTAAATTGCGAAAAACAGAAATTAAGGATATGGATTCAAAAAACGCTTCAGGATTACGTCAAAAATTAAGTATGGATTTTTACACTGAAAAAAAAGTTTAGGATGATGAAACTATTCCTGAAAGATATATTTTTTAAATGTCTCTGCTTAAACAGCAAATACGTTTGATTCGTTTCATCGTAACAAACAAAGCGACATCAAGAAAGAAAAACGCAAAACGATCGAAACAACACGAAATTGAGTACGAAAAATGAAAACGCAGGAATAATTAATTAATTTCATACGCTTTACAGTAAGAAAGTGCAATTAAAATTGAGTGCAAAGTGTAATAATTTAAGTTCTTTTTAATTATGAAAAACAGGAATTAAGAAATTAAAAGTTTATTTAGGGACATTTTTGCAATTTCGGAATTTGCGTCAATAAGAGTACTTTTGGATGCAAGGCTTTATACCATTACATGCAAATACACTCAAAAAATGCTTCAGCATTACGTTGAAAACGTGCCGATATTTGCACTGAAAGAAACCTTTATAACTATTCTTAAAATATTTTTTTTTAAATAACATTCCGAAAACTTTGCTCTATTTCTACTATGTACATTCTGCAACAGACAAAGCGACAGTAAAAGAGAAAAAAGCAAACTTTTGAAATTCGAGGATTAAAAATGCAAACGAAAGAACAATTGATTGGAAGGAGCAGCAAATTTGAATTAAAATGGACTTACAGACAATAATGTGGCATAAAAAGTAATCTCTTTAAATATTAATATTTCAAACAATTTTTGATCAAATAAATGCATTTAGAACTATCTGCAAGATAAGGTACAACTAAAACAGTGTCCGAAGTGTGACTATTTAATTTCTTTTCAATTGCGAAAAACAGAAATTAAGAAAATATCAGCTTATTTAAGAATTTTTTCGTAATTTCTAAAATCAATAAAAGTTTAGTAAGTAAAGTTTTTTTATTAAAGACTTTATATCATTCGTCATATGCATAAATCACTAAAATGATATATTTAATCTTAAAATATACCTTTTTCTTTTCTCCCCTAATCTCTCTCGTACTGTGCTGACATACTTTATGTGCATTAAACTTAGATTTTTTAATACTGGCAACGACCACAAGAGAAAAAAAGGAAAACAATAAATATATTCAGAATAAAAAATGGGAACGCAAGAACAATTGATGGGAATGTGCATATAATATCAAATAAAATTATGTTTCATATAAAAAGATAGGCAGAAAACGTAAACAATTTAAATAATAATTTTTCAAACAATTATTCGAAAAGGAAATGCATTTCAATCTCTTTGCAGTTTGAAAGTGCGATTAAAATGGAGCGCAAAGTGCAATTATTTAAGGAAATGGACTTAAAAATTTTTCAGGATTACATCAAAAATCAAGTGTCGATTTTTAAACTGAAAGAAATGTTTATAGTGATGAAACTATTCCTAAAATAATTTTGTTTTTCATTTCTCTGCTAAAATACCAAATACCTACTATGTACTTTATGTGCATTAAAGTTAGATTTGTTTCATACTGACAAACAACGCGACAGCAAGAAGCAAAAATGCAAACAACAGGAAATTGAGTATGAAAAATTAAAACGAAATAATAATCAGTTAATTTCATACTCTCTACAGTAAGAAAGTGCAATCAAAATGGAATGTAAAATGCAATTGTTTAATTTATTTTAAACTATGAAAAAGAGGAATTAAGAAATTAACAGTTTATTCAAGGAAATTTTTACAATTTCGGAATTTGCGTCAATAAGGTCAAAAAATGCTTCAGCATAACGTTGAAAAATTCCCGATATTTGCACTGAAAGAAATCTTTATGATAACTATTCCTAAAATACGTTTCGTTTTCTTTTTAATTTGATTCTGAAAACTTTTCTCTACTTCTACTATCTCCATTCTGTAACTAGCAAACAAAACAACAGCGAAAGAGAAAAAAAGTGAACTTCAGAAAATCCACGATTAAAAACGCAAACGAAAGAATTGATTAAAAGGTGCTAAAAATGTGAATTAAAGTGGCCTTAGAGAAGAATGTAGGCAGAAAAAGTAATCTCTTTAAATATTACTATTTAAACCAATTTTTGGCCAAAGAAATGCATTTAAAACTACTTGCAGTTGGAAAGTTGAACCAAAATTGAGTCCAAAGTGGAACTAGAAAAATAGTTTATTTATGGATTTTTTCATAATTTCTGAATTAAGTCAATAACAGTTTTATTTATTAAATACCTTACGCCATTTGTCACATACATTTTCAAAACTATTTATTTTTCCTTAAAATATATTTTTTAAATTTCTCTCCCAATCTCTGTCCTAGTGTACTTACATACTTTATGGGCATCAAACTCATATATTTTTATACTAACAACAAAAGCGACCGCAAAAGAAATTCAAAATAAAAATGCGAACGCAAGAGAAATTGATCGGAAGGTGTAAAAATACGAAACAAAATTATTTTACATACGAGATAGGCAGAAAACGTAACCAATTGAAACATTAAATGTTGAAACAATTATTCGACAAACAGATATTTTTGAAATTTCGGAAGTCAATAAGAGTACTTTTGGAAACAAGGCTTTACGCCATTCGTTAGATGCATAAACCTCTAAAAAATACGCTGTTGACTGATCAAAACGTCAGCATTATGTTAAGAAAGTGCCGATTTTTACAGAGAAAGGAAAGTTTATCGTGATGAAACTACTCCTAATAATTTTTTAAAATTTCTTTAAAAAAAAGTTAGATCTATTTTATAATAAGAAATAAAGCGACAGCAAAAAACCAACAACACAAAATCGAGAATTAAAAATTAAAACGAAAGAACGATTAATTGAAAGCTACAAATAATGTGAAATAAAATTCTTCTTCAGAGCAGAAGAAGAAGAGAAGCAGAACCGGATTTCAAACTCTGCAATCAAAATGCAGCGAAAAGTGCAATAATTACATTGCTATTAAAGGCTATTTTGCAAATCGCGGAATTTCAGTCAATAAAAGTACTTTCGAATACAAAACTTGTCAACATTTGTCGTTTGCACGAAACACAAAAAAACGTAGTGGACTGAAAGAAATATAAAAAATCATCGGATTTATAGAACTTTGTCACCCTAAAGTTTCGGTCATTTCAATGTTAATACACTGGACGAAAAATTATGTTGTACACTGAAAAAAAGTTTGCTGTGGTAAAGGAAGCTTTTTTGAAGGACAATATAGATATGTTAAAGACATAACGAAGTTCTTAGTTAACGTAAAATAAACCAAAAAAATTAATAACGAATAAACCAGAAGAAGTAAAATAGGAACTATGAAAATTTCTTTTACATTCAATCAAAGCTCTCTTCAGTTCTTCGTCTTTAAATAATCGCAGACAAACAAAGTAGGCTAAAATTACAATAATCGCAATTTTGCTACACACACACACACACACACACACTTCTTGATCTTTCCAAATTTCCCCCTTAACTAATAAGACAATTGTTGTTAGTCAATGTTTGGACTGAACTGATGAATGCTAATTAACGTACATTTGCCTCCGCACTAAAACTTACCGAAATGGGAGATATAAATTCCTCTCCAGTATTATGTGGTCTTCTCCTCGCCTTACTTATAGCTCCTCCTCACAATGCCTGAACATCTTGTGCATACCGGCGGCGGTTTCAACAAAATATAAATAATCCCACATGAAACCGTGACATTTTACGAGAAACCTTGGCGAAAAATTAACCTGGTATGGTTGTCATTTGTCGACGAAACTAGCGCAGATAAGAAAAATTGGTTTAGGTATGTTTTGATAATAACGCTTATCAGAAGATTAATATCGAGTTGATGGCAGGTAATATGCGAAATATGAATGTGTGTTTGCCCTGGTCGTAAAATTCGTACTTTTGATAATGACGCTGTATAAAGTTCAAAAATTTTCCAAGCGACATTATCTTGGCAAATCGGATGCTGTTAATCTTTGATCAATATGCTTAGGCAACCAGGACGTCCAAGGTTCAGAAAATAGTAGCAGTAAATTGAAGTTCATAGGATCACCTGACTTGCTTTAGAGCTGCCTATTTATTAAGATTTTAGGATTTGAGAAAACTAAAACTCGAAGGAAAACTGAGCTTCTCGAAGATTCATAGAAAGCTCGGTTATTATCCAGCATTTCCAGCTTCTTGCGAATGCATTTGGAAGATAAAACTATGTTCTTTTTACCAGTTTTTGGCAAACATCTGAGACAAACTAAGCTTGTTTTGAGGTAAAGAGCAGTTGAACAGTGAGGTAAAGAGCATAAAGTCGACTGTTTTATTCGTTTGCTCAATATTTAAAACTATACTCAAACTCAAACTTGAGCTTTCCTTGCTCCAAAGTATATTTTTAATTTCAGTTTTTCGGTGTATTTGCGTGTTTACCGCTGTAGCAGTTTCAGTGTGAAGCTTCAAATATATTAAAAATGCATTTGACAACGCAAACCATTCACTTTATTGCAAGTTGCTTCAAAATTCCAATTCGGCGGAAAATTAAAACCCGTCATTAAAATTTCAAACCCGTCACTAATTAAGCTCGTTCCGAGAAATTAGTCTTTAGTTTAGTTATTTTAAGAAATTAGTAGCACTAAAGACATGATTTTCACGGATAAAAATCTCAACTTCCTTTATTTTTTTAAATTAATTAACGAAGTGAAACTGAACCTGTTTCCAGCTCAAGTGAGTTTTGGGTTTTTAATTCTGAAAATTTATGGCAATATCGCCGCCAGCAGTGTCATCTTCAAATTTAAAAAAAGTTCTTTAAAAGAAAGATTTCCTTAAAATATTCTGATGTTGAAAATCTGTTACCAGTGGAAAATTCAAATTGTTTTGAAGAAAAAATTTTCGGCTTTTTATTTAAAACTTTTGTCAGTGTGAAGTTTCGTTTGCTGGCAATATGTGAATCGCATTTTAAAGCCAAAAACCTCCTCTTTCAACAGTGCGTTTTATATTTAAAATCGGTCAAAATGTGAGTTTGTTTGGCGCTTAAGAGTTTTTTCTCTTTTAAAGCCTAAATTTTCAGTCTTGTTGTAGCTCAGTTACCGTCAGAAGCTTCTGAGTAAATTATCATGCATTTGAAAGATAAAAACATTAGCTTTCTTTAGGACTTTTCGAGATTTAAAAGCGATTTTAAGTTATTGAACTGCTCAAATCCGAGCTCATCAGCGCAGAAAAACTTATTGTTTTCTAGTGTTTCAATACAAGAAATTGATAGACAAAAAGCTTCAGTTTTATTGAAATTTAAAATCGGTCTATAACTGAGCTTGTTTGAAGTTAAAAAATATTTTCAGTTGTAAAGTTGCATGGCAGTTATTTATGGAAGTTGTTGGTAGTTTAAAAATGTAGCTAAGAAATAAAGGAGTTTACTGTTTCGCGTTTATGATCATGTATTTAAAAGATCAAAACAGCGTTTCTTACGATCTTCGAGATTTAAAATCAGTTAAAATCTAAGCGCGTTTTAAGCAAAAAGTCGTTGGAGCTTTAAATTATTGAAGTTCTCAAATTCCTTTCGAGCGCATTAGCACAGCAAAACTTATTGTTGTCTACTGTTTCAAAGCAATAACTTGAAAGACAAACAGCTTCAGTTTTATTGAAATTTAAATTCGGTCTTTAACTTTAAAGCTTGTTTGAAGTTAATGAGGATTGTGAAAGATTCCGGTTTTATTCGCTTGCATGCCAGTTATTAATGAAAGGTTTTGGTGTTTTAAAAATGTAGGTAAGAAATAACGGATTTTGCTCTTTTGCAGTTTTTTAATGTAAGTATTTTCGGATTTATATTTTCAATTTTTGGCAGTGTGAAGTTTCATTTCGTAAAAGATTTGTTGTCATGCTGAACATATATTAATGGCATGTTAAAGCTCAAAACCTGCTCTTCCAACAGTGTGTTTCATATTTTAAATCGTTCAAGAGTATTTTCGCTTTTAAAGCCCGAATTTTCTCGGATCAATCTGGTTGTCGTTCGGTTACCGTCAGAAGCTTCTCATTAACTGATTATGCGTTTGAAAGATAAAAAGATTAGCTTTCCTGAAGATCTTGGAGCTTTAAAATTAGTCAGAAACTGAGCTCGTATTGACCAAAAAAACCTTTGGCTTTTTAAATTTTGGAATCAGTCAAATGGCTTTCGAGCTCATGAACGCAACAAAACTCATTTGTTGAGTTTCGAAAGTTTCAAAACAAGAACTTGAGAGACAAAAACTTTAGGTTTTTTGGTAACTTAAAATCGTTAAAATCGTTAAAATCGTTAAAAAAAAGTTATGGAGAATTTTAAGTTGTGAAAGATTCAGGTTTTGTTCGCTTGCATGCCAGTTATTTATGGAAGTTGTTGGTAGTTTAAAAATGTAGTTAAGAAATAAAGGATTTTACTGTTTCGTAGTTTTTTAACGTAAAATTATTTTCGGATTTATATTTTAAATTTTTGTCGGTGTAAAGTTTCATTTTCTAAAATATTTGTTGCCTTTCTGAAAATAAATGAATCGCGTTTAAAGCCAAAAAACTCCTCGTTGTGAAACAGTGTGTTTCCAATTTAAAATAAGTGAAAATCTGAGTTTGTTTTGCGCTGAAGAGTATTTTCGCTTTCAAACCCAAAATTTTTTCGGGTGATTCAGGTTGTCGCTCAGTTGCCTTTAGAAGCTTCTGATTAACTGAATATGCATTTGAAAGATAGGAACGTTAGCTTTCCTGAGGATCTTCGAGCTTTCAAATGGGTCAGAAACTGAGCTGGGATTGAGTAAAAAAACCTTTGGCGTTTTAAATTATGGATTTGCTCAAATGACTTTCGGGCTCATGGGCGCAGCAAAACTCATTTGCTGAGTTTCGAGAGAGTTTCAAAACAAGAACTTGAGAGACAAACACTTTAGTTTTTCTGAAACTTAAAATCGGTCTATAGCTAACTGAGCTTGTTTGAAGTTAAATAGGAATGTAAGTTGTGAAAGATGCAGGTTTTATTCGCTTGCATGTCAGGTATTTGAGCAAATTTTGGGTACTTGAAAGATGTATGTATCTACGAACGAAACGAAAAAGATTCTGCTGATTCGCATTTTTTTATGTTTAAAATCCTGGAGCTAGATTTGAGCTAAAAATCTTTGATTGATGATGAAATTGCGTGAGTGAATTCATCCATAATTCAGTTAAATTTGTGAGTTTTCAATGTTTCAAAACTGCATGTTAACTCTATTAAATAGTTCGTTGTTTGTTATCGCTGGTGCTCTTTCATAAAAATGCTCTCTTTTTGTAAAAAAAAACATTCCATAATCCAGATGATTTATTCATCACCCAGAAGATTAGACTTGTGTATAAAGTATTCAGTTTGCCAGTATTTTACAGTAAAACGTTAGGAAACGCGGTCTTTCTGTTTTGAGCCAGTGTAGATTAGAAATATTGACTTAAAAGTGAAGAAAAAAACCAGTTTCCAAGAGTTTTCCAAATAAATGATAATAAACTTTCGCTTTTTCAGTTCGGGGAACTATTTTTGGAAAAAGACCTAGAATTAATTATTAGGATTTTGTCCATAATTCTAAGCTGCAAAAAGTTTTCCAAAAATTTTTGTAAAGCGGGTAAGGAGGCGAGTGTTCTAATAAAATTAATCTTATAATTTTTCACAGAACATACCTAAAGATGATCAGTATTTTAACTGAAAAATAATGCGATTTTTGCGTTAAAATAATTGCTTAATAGAAACTTTGTTGAAACTAGAATGACCTGAAAATTTATAGGAATTTTAAAAATCTTCAGAGCGATGAGGGCGGCGAATTTGCCAAATATTTTTTTGTAAACTTTTGCTCTGGTAGATTTTTATAAATAATCTAACGGAATAATTTTTTTTTGTGCCAAATTCGAAGCTGAAATGGGTTTTCTAAAGTTCCCTGTAAACCGATGAATGAGGCGAAGTTTGTAGCAAAATAAATTTGTAATTTTTTGCTTAAAATACCCCATTATTGCCAGAGAAGAAGGAAACAATCTGAAAATAAGTTTTTTTACGTTTTTGATTAAAAACTTTTAGTTTTGTGATCGGTTTTGGAGAAAAACGGAAGGGATTTTTTCTTTTTGTCTCAAATTCCACTCTGAAAAAAGTTTTTGTAAAATTTTTACAAAGCTATAAATTTATTTGGCAATTTTTAGCGTAAAATAGGTCCAGACCGTCAGTATTTTTAAGTGAAGCTCTACAAAATACAGCGTTTTCGAATAGAAAGTGAAGCAAAAAAAATCAGTCAAAACCAAAAAAAAACACATTGTTTCTTAAGAAACTTTCCAGTCTTCAGAGGAATGGAGGTGATGAGAATTTCAAATAATCTGGCGTCAATTTTCGTTTACTCTTTTCGTTTTTTCATAAAAAATTATTTAATTTTTGTGTATCTTAAGTTTGTCAGCGTTTTTGAGTGAAACTTTAGAAAATTGAGCATTTCGAATAAAGAGTAGGCTAAAACTGAAAAATTCTGAAATTTAGCAGAAAATTTAAAAATATTATTAATAAATGGCCCTTAAAATAAATCTAAAAGCAAATAAAAAAAGTCATCAACATTTTCCCAGCAACGGAACTGAGTTACTGCGCCGGTGCGTCGGGCTGGCGCACCAAGCCTAGGCCTAATATAATCCACATCTTTCACAATCTGAGGATCGCAAATAGTCATAAAAGCCCAATTTGCTCAAGTTCTCTGTATGCAGAATCGGCATTTTAAATTGCCTAGATAATAACAGCTTTATTTATTGACATTCAATTACCAGCCATCCCGTGTATGGTGTTTGCTTACCTATTAAGCATAGTTGTGCATAATAGTGAG